CGAAAACTGTTATATTGAAAACCATCAACTTGTTCCAATAACACATCACCTCTTTCACGCTGATGTACTGATACACAGCCCTCTTACAGACTTCTGGTCCTGGAGTGGGTCCACCTACAGTCTTATCCCAATTCAGCCATACCAGCACAGACTTTAGCAGAGGTTTTCATCAATAAACATAGTGGCAAGACAAGAACCTCCACTGGAGAGCCAAAGTTAGCCTGAGGAAGACTCAAGGCTTCCCTCACTCTGCTGCAGACTGGCATTTTACAATCTAAGGAAGAAGGAAATGTTAACAAGTTTGAGTTAATGTGGGCAAACAATGGGAATTGCAGACCAGCTGAGACATGCACAGCAAAGATGACCTGAGCAGAGGCTCTGCTGTTTGGAGTGGACCAGCAAATCCAGCGCTGCCTGACTGAAAGCAGTTTTCATCGGGACACGATTCCATAGGAATTCTGGCTGTGCGGATGGTGGCAGAGATGCTGGGAATGCAAGTGTCCGGGTAGCACATTCACTGCTGCGAGTTCCGATGAAGCATGTTCTGCAAGGTTTTGTGGCTCCGCACGGCAGTGACCACGTCCTCGAACAGAGTGTTCACACTGACACACAGTGGCTGGCGCTGCAGCTCAGTCATCCTGCACACAGCCAACGTGCAGAGGGCACAGAGCAACAGCATGAGCAACAGCCTCAGCAGCGCCTGGGACCACGAACGCCTGCGCTGGGGCAGCTTCGATGGACGGGAAGCAGATGAGAGCTCTGCAACGATACAAAATGGGGAAAGGAGGAATCACGGACAGAACTCTATTTACAAAAGCGTCTGCCTGCAGGTATGAGCCCCTCATGGGGATGTGCTGTACCCCATATCTAAACTGCCCCAGCTTTACCTATTCCATAAATATACAGGGCCTTCATAAAGTCCTTGTGCACTTTTAAACTTTAATAGCTTAGACTGTAGGTATGATAGAAACAATCTGTAAATGGCTGGTCTACACAATACTAGACTTCATAAGTAATAACAAATTTATTCTTACTTCAGATCTTTTGACAAATGAAAAATGGCTACCGTAGATGAGAAGGTAAACTGTCCTATGGCTAACAGAATTGAAGTCCGTATCAGCTGTGGGAAGAAAATGGTAGTTATGTTGAAGTCTAGCATTGTGTACTCTAGTTGTTCTAAAAACTTTAATAAATTTGCTTTTAAATGCCATTTACAGATTGCTTCTATCATACCTACAACCTAAGTTATTAAAGTTTAAAGATGCACAAGGACTTTATGAAGACCCTGTATGTACAGGCCCTAAGGCTGTCGCATGTAACATTCAAGGAGATCAGACAGCCTTGAAGATAATGATACATATTACTCATGTGAAGAGGTCTCCCTCCAGAAGTCTTGAGGAAGAGGAGATAATCTTCAAGAGTAATTGCAGAACTTCATGATTTAAGATCAGTGTCATCCACTGCAGAGATGCTAAAAGTTCTGCTCCCCCTCTGCCCCCCACGGTGCATATGTCTTCTAAGATTCTCAGCTCTGCCACTGGGCCTTGTTTTTCCCACCATGCTTAACAAGTGACTACTTCATTGACTGTGTAACAGATACAGCATTGTCAACAGCAGAGCAGACATGCAGATAGAGACAACCATGCTAATATTCCTCCTTGTCCCCACCCATCTATTTCTCCTTCACTCAAAGTATGGAGGAAAGTGCCTTCTATTTGCAGTGCTCCTCACAGTAAATACCCTGTTAACTTACTGGGGCTCTCAGGGGATTCTTTCTTCCTTTGTGTTTCCATCTCCTGCTTTACAGCTCTTAGTGCATCGTACTCTCGCCTTCTGCGTTCCTTCTCTTCTGCCTTCTCTCTCCTCCGCATTTCCCTCTCCTGAGCCTCCCTTTTTCGCTGCTCTGCTTCACGCTGCTTCTCCAGTTCTGGGGATCAAACACAAACGTTTTCCCATCTGAAATGTGAGCACTCAATCCATCCCCCTGTCCCCACCCTTACCTTCTCTCACCAGGAAGGTAAAGTAATAGAAGAATGACCCAAAGTCACATTTATTTTCTAGAAGTGTTACATGTCTTCCATCACCCTCCAAGCTAGTCTTCTGTCCACTGTCATTTGTGTGCTCTATAGCAGCTCTCACCTTGCAGGATTTCTTAAATATTTTAAGCCTCATAATACCAGTGTGAGGCATTATCCCGATATTACTTATGGGCAAATGGAAATAGTAAGATCTATGTTGACTGTTCCTTTTTAAGATGACCAATTTTAAAACCACCACTCTCTTGCCAGAGGATCCTTTAAATCCTGAGCCTTGAAACTTCCCCATTCCCACTGCAGCCCCACACACTGGGTAAGCTTTTTGAGAGAATTATCCTGGCACATGTCCACAAGGGGCCAGCGGGGGAGGTTATGCTTAGGGGCAACCAGCATGGGTTCATTAGAAGCAGGTCATGTCAGATCAACCTGGTGGCCTTCTATGACCAGGTCACAAAATCCTTAGATGCAGGGGTATCAGCGAATGCAGTCTTTCTGGACTTTAGGAAGGCCTTCGACACCGTCTCTCACCCCGTTCTCATTAAAAAAAATAGGGGACTGTGGTGTCGACACCTACAAAATCAAATGGGTTACTAACTGGCCGGAGGGCCGTACCCAGAGAGTAGTGGTGGATGGGTCTTATTCGACCTGGAGGAATGTGAGCAGTGGGGTCCCCCAGGGC